ACATATTTTCTGGTGATTGTCTAACTTCCTCCCAGCCTAGTTTGGGGAATCAGAAAGCAGAGGTTTGGTTTTGTTTACTAGTGTATCATTACCACTCGGTAGGTGCGCAGTAAACACTGCTGAATGGACATACTTGCACAGGCTTCCTTACAGGCTGAGCTGAGGAATCAGTGCCTCTTCATAGTCTATACCTGTATTTGCTTTCTACTTGCTCCTACCTTCTGTCAGGCTCAGGGAGCGAGTCCAGGTCCAAGTCCCCAGCCCGAGCTTCCTTTGCTTCTGTGTGCTGCTGAGAAACCTGAAAGCTTGCTTTAATGTCTTTGGCCCAACTCTTCCCTGTTCTTTTAGCACTCTACTTCCTCTCCTTGGCAGAGACTGGAGCAGGCCTGGAGGTTTTTGTGGAATGTCTGTTCTTCCAGGTGGAAGCCGTGTTGGCTGCCCCTCAGCTGCAAAGCAAGACCTGCTCTGCACTCTAGATTTTACACATTCTCTACCTTTGTATGTGCAAGGGGGAATATTCTAGCATCAGGCAAACTACAAGTGAGTTGAGAGCCATCCTCACACCTTAATCATTCTTCGGTATCCTGCCTGAGAAAGAATCTTACTTCACTGGAAGAGAAACAAACAGGAAGAAAAGATAGAGCAATACATATATATATATGTATATATGTGTGTGTGTGTGTGTGTATATACGTATACCACCCTCCCCGCCCCCCAACAAAACTACAACACATGAGTGGAAAGACAGAAAAAGCTATTAGCAATCCGACGCTTAAATAAAGGAAAAATATTTTATAATTCCTTTAAAAAATGCTTAAAAAGGAAAATAAAGGAAAAGATTAAGTAAATTATGAAACCTCAACTTATTGGAGTCATTTAAATGACCATCAAGATTATGTTTCAAGATAGAAATATTAAATTTCAATATGTGAAAAAGAATTATGTAATCGTGTTTAATTTAAAAACAGAACAGAAACATTATATACTGAATGATTCTAACCTTCTAAAAATTATGACTGCAGCTGAATAAAGTTTATATGGGAATACAGAAATACAAACAAAGGTTTTTGTTAGGATGAAATTGTATTTACTTCTCTAATAGTATTGTATTGTTATAATAATACAATATTGTTCTAATAAATTGTTCTAATAAATTGAAATATTTAAATGTAAGCCAGAAAAGCTCCTATTTGCCAAAGACCTGACAGGAGGGAGAAGCCCGGGGCTCAGGCTGCCCTTTCAGATGCGGAACTGAAGAAAACAAACCCGCTCTTACCTTTGTGCCTCTTCAGTTGGGGAAAACTGCTGATTGTAGTCGCTTGGATTATTTCCACTACAATTTGGTACCTGATTTTTAAAAAGAGAAAAGGAAAAAAGATTTAAGAGGAAGACAATACTATTTTCAGAAATAACTTCTGTCTTTATACTAAACAAATATCACACGGGAGCTGAATCCTGCCCACGGCTCATTAAAATAATCAACAGGGACTGAGCATCTGCAATAGGCCAGGCCCCACACCACGTGCTAGTCACTTCTGAGGCCTTCATGTAAACACCACGAGCCTCCTCACCCTTACTCTGTTCCCCATACCAGAAGCATAACTGCTGTAGAAACTCTGAGGTTATGCTCAGCCTCCCTCTCCTCCACACTCCTACATGAGCAGAGCTAGCTGATTCCACTTCTTACATCTGCGCTGTCCAATAAGGTGATCACGAGCTACACGTGGCTATCCAATTAAACTAACAACGTTTAGTTCCTCAATCACACTAGCCACATTTCCAATGATCCACAGTACCTGTGACTTGTGGACCACGCTGGGCGGTGCGAGTAGAACATTTTCTTCACTGCGGAAAGTTCTACTGGATGGTGCCGTCTTCAATCGTTCTCAAAGCTGTCCTCTCCCGGGCAGCCCCACTGCCCCACCTGAGTGCACTGCCTCATTGCTTCTCATTTAGAAGACGGTCCCCAGCCCAACAGAATCAAAATATCTGCACCAGGACTCGCATCAATATTTTTAAAGCTCCCCTGGCAATTCTAAGGCACACGGAGAGCTGAGAAGCATGAGATTAGAGCACCAGCTATATATATGTGTGCCTAAGAAGACCTCCAAGTCAGGAAAAATAAATAAAATTCTACATTTTAAGTGCTGAGTACAACCCTGGAGTTGTAGCTATTTTAAGCATAAACTCAATGCTTTTACAAATCCAAATTCTTAAGTGCCCTTTAATGATTACTAAGTATTGCCCTAATCAAACTGGCTTATCCTGAGTGTTTCCTAGCCCTTAATTATATGAATTAATTTCATCTGCTGGTAATAAAATTATTTAACATTAATTCTTACTTTGAACACAAGCCATGCAGTGTTCTAAGATTTAATGTTATATATGGCTGGCTTTCAGAGCACACAATTACATACATTCTTTTGCCTTCAACTAAAACCCAGAGGAGAGACAAATTTATCTTAGTCATAGCTACTCATGGACTCCTCACAAATTTGCATCTTATTTTTTCATTAGGATAATAAAACATCAGTGCTTGACTCTCATGACCTCAGAACAGGCTGTCAGGATCAGTATTGGCATGCCAGCCAGAGATGGTGGCAGACGCTGCCGGCTGCCTGCCCAACGTCCAGTCTCCCTTCCTTCCTTGCTAAGTGACCTACAGCTTTATCAGGGAAAGTGACACACCTAGCTAAAAAGGCTAGCTTTCTCCCCAGCAGTCAGAGATGGCCAGGTGATATCATTCTAGCCTTGGAGATAGGCAAAAGTCACTGGGCAGGGATTCCAGGAAAGTGGGCTAAAAGCAGCCTCCACAGAAAAGCCCTTTCCAGCTTTAGTCCTCACCCTTCCCTCATTTTTCTGTGTAAAACAAGGATGCAATTGGCTAAAGGCACAGCAGTACCTTACAATCATGAGGGTAAAAGCCACAGGCTAGGCCGGGCACAGTGGCTCACATTTGTAATCCCAACGTTTTAGGAGGCTGAGGCAGGAGGACTGCTTGAGGCCAGGAGTTCAAGAGCCTAAGCAGTATAGTGAGATCTCATCTCTACAAAAAATTAAAAAGTTGGCTGGGAGTGGTGATGCGTGCCGGTAGTCCTAGCTACTCTGGAGGATGAGGCAGAAGGATCCATTGGACCCAAGAGTTCAAAGTCACAGTGAGCTATGATTGTGCCACTGCACTCCAGCCTGGATGACAGAGTAAGACCCTGTTTCTTCAAAAAACAAAACAAACCCCAAAACAGAAAAAGGCCAGGTGTAGTGACTTATGCCTATAATCCTAATACTTAGGGAGGCTGAGATGGGAGGATTGCTTGAGCCCAGGAGTTTGAGACCAGCCTGGGAAACAAAGGGAGATCTTGTCTCTACTAAAAATAAAAAAAAAATTAGCTGGGCGTGGTGGTGCACACCTGTAGTACCAGCTACTCAGGAGCCTGAAGCAGGAGGATCACTTGAGCCTGGGTGGTTGAGGTTGCAGTGAGCTATGATTGTGTTACTGCACTCCAGCCTGGGCAACAGAGCAAGACCCTGTCTCAAAAACACAAAAACAAAAACTACAAGCTAAGGATGATGCAATAAGAAGACAGGAGGAGTTCAGGGTTCCAATGACATAATGAACCATCAAAACAGCCCCCAACTACCAATCTCAGGACATGTGGCGACATGGGGAAAATAAACACCTGCCTCATTTAAGTTGCTGCATGTCAAGTTGTCTTGTGGCCAAATGCCACTCCAACAGATAGAGAGCTTTCTGAGGAAGACTTAATGTGCTTCCACACAGCAATTCCAATTTCAAGAATTTATCATAAGGTAACAGTTTAACAAAAGAAGAAAACAAAAATAAAAACCCAAAGCCCAAACTATCATATACATGTTTGTTGTAGAAAGTTCTACAAAGAAACACATGAAAATACTCATGGTCAATAATGAGTACGGCCAATAATGCTTTCATTAAACAAACGCTTCTTAATCTTTTCTTATGTTCTAGACAGACAGAAATGAACACCACCAATATGGTCCTTGCTTTCAGGACATATCAGATTAAACAGAAAGCATCCAGCCAGTAATACTTATAATAATAAACACTACAGGAAAATAGATGTTTACGACAGATTAATTTTTAAAATGCAAAATGGCACATACATTTATGATGGCAGATATGTATCTTTGTGTATATATGAGCCAGAAATACAAGACAAAATAGAGATGAAATGAAGGGCAGTTGTGTTAAAATGGTAGACTTATGAGTCATTTTTAACTTTTTCTAAGCTGTTTTATCTATCTACCTATGTACCTAAGCCTACTCAAGCTGAACTAACCTTCTTTCTTCCATAGTAAGGTTTCCTTATCTCTCCATTTCTCTACTAGTACCATCATCCTTCTCAAAATCATCTTAGGTATCTACACTACCAATAAACACCAGTTTCAAAGCCCTGTGGATGGTCCTTTGAATGCCTTTAAACAAGCTCCTTGCTTACTCTACCTTCGGCTACCACCATTTCAGGCTGCCTTCTTTCCTGAGTGGGTCACTGCAATGGCCAAATGGTCTGTCTCCCTGACTTCAGTCCTCTCTCCCATCCAAACCAACCTGGGCACCTGTCAACACACCCTCCTACGGGACCACTCTCCTCATCTCTCCCTTGTTCAATACCCCCTGCACCTCCCCAAATGAATAGCCCCACATTCCTGCCTGCATTCCCTTCACAACTTGGCACTAGCTCTGTTATCCAACAACTTCATTTTTTTTTCTCCCTATGAATGTGAACCTAATTAAGCCTGGCTGGTTTCTATATTGCCCTCTGAAAACTACAGTCTTACGCTTTGTTTCCTGCTGGAAGGCAGTCTTCCTACTTATCCACCTACCTAGATCTTACATATATTACTTCTTCCCTCAAGTCTTCCCCATCCCTATAATGCACACCAATATCTGTCTTCTCTGAAATCCTGAATTACTTCTGCTCTATAGTAGTATCTATTTACTCTTTCATATTGCTGTTTTAGAGTCACACTTCCACAACGAATGCTGTGAACAAAGAAAATGGTGTGCCCAGTCATTTCAAGGCCTAATACACCTTCAAAGAATGTTGACACACTTCTGAGCCTAAGAATGTAGGCTGAAAACTACAAAACCATAGTTTTATGTATAATAAAGATACACTACTTTTTTCTCCCCAACTAGATCAAGAGCCTCTTAAACACAGGAGTTCTGTCTTATATTCTCCTGTAGTATATAGCTTTAGACTAAACATACGGTAGGCACTCAATAGATATTAATGAGCTAAATTAACAAGAGTCAACATTTCTAACACTTAACAGGTACAAATAATATTCTGAACAATTTATTCTTTTGATATTCTTAGTGATTCATGCTTTGGAACAAATGAGTCATCAAGGGTACCAAAGAAAATACACACCATCCGAGTAAAGAGTTAAAGATTTGTTTTAAGGAAACCACAAAATTATAATGTAATACCAGCTAGCATTCATAGATTGTACTGGGTACCTGTTTCGATATTTTAATTTACATTATCTCACTTAACCCTCATAATAAGGTGCTATAGTTACATCCACATTACAGAGAAGGAAATTAGAATTCTATGAGATCTATGAGATCTCATATGAGATCTATACAAGGTCCCATTGCTTTTCAGTCCTAGAGACAGAATGACAATCCAGGGCTGCCTGGCTTCTAAAGCTCATGCTCCTAACCATTTTCCTGCTACTCTAAAATTCAATAGAGGTTAATACTTATCTTCTCTAGGGTTATTCTAAGTACATAAGTATGGCCAATGCCAGATCATCTTTCCAGCTTTACTGCCTTCTATATCCCTCCTGCATACTGTTTCCGCCAAACCAGACCAAATGTGATACCATGAACACACTCCAGGTCTTTCCTGACTCCCTTCTCATTAATATTTCTCCTTCTTCTTAACAGTACTCCTGTTTCTTCCTGCACACCATCACTTCCCCTTATCTGCTGAAATCCTATTAACTCTTATTCAACACTCCATTCATGTTTCTTCCTGCACACCATCACTTCCCCTTATCTGCTGAAATCCTATTAACTCTTATTCAACACTCCATTCATGGCCATTCCTCTCTGAAGCTTTCTTAAGATTTCCCTGCTGTAGAATAAAATATTTGCTCCTACCCACTTCCTTGGTGCTTTACACTCCACTTCCAGTCTTAGGATCTTGCTTCCTACTTAGCTACTTATAGTCACATGGGTCTCTTGTGCTGGACTGCAAACACTTGATGGCAGGGGGTGGAATCCAAGGAGTGTAACCAGTTCATCTTAGTACTCACCAGACCTTCTGCACACAGCACTTTGCACACAGTGGGTATCTGAAGATGATTATTGAATTTGTTTAATTCACTGTTACTGGATATCAAGAGGAAATAATTGACTTTTTCATTCTTGTTTTTTTCTCAACAAAACTATACAATATATACATCCAAACATATCCAAATGCTGGCTATCCTTGAGGACACGGGCTTCCAGAGTTACCTGGCACTCACTTGGCTTTCTTTCTCCAGAGGAGGATACGACTTTACAAGTGCTGAGTTCTGTTCAAGAATCAGGAGGGTTGATATTTGTATACTTTCCCTTGATCAAAGTGCACAGATTGTTGGTATATATTTTGCAAAATAATGTAAAATCAAGTATTAGGGAGGAGGGGCATAACAAGAATTCAGCTGTTTTCCAACTCTGGCAAGATCCTACCTATAGTATCCTTTGTCCCAGTGATAAGGAAAAGCCGCACAAAGATAACTGCCATCTGCTCCCCAGAGCGGCCACCTCATCTCTCTTTGGTATTTCACAACTGGCTAAATAAAAAGAGCAAGTTTGTGTTTCTGAACGGTTTCCCAACAATCTCAAACTCACTGAAACGCTGCACAGCAATTCAGAGTGATCACTTTAGATATTCATAGATTCGAGGCCAGGCGGGGTGGCTCATGCCTATAATCCCAGCACTTTGGGAGGCTGAGGCTGGTAGATCACTTGAGGTTGGGAGTTCAAGACCAGCCTGGCCAACATGGTGAAACTCTGTTTTTACTAAAATACAAAAAAAAAAAAAAAAAATTAGCCCGGCATGGTGGCCGGCACCTGCAGTCCCAGCTACTCAAGAGGCTGAGGCAGGAGAATCACTTGAATCTGGGAGGTGGAGGTTGCAGTGAGCTGAGATTGCGCCACTGCCCTCCAGCCTGTCCGGACATGCACATGCTGTAATTTCATGGGAGAGTCAAAGGCTGGCCAAACCTTAGTCTCAGGTATGCAATGTGATAAATGGTTTAAAACAATGTTTTATAAAAATTAGCAAGATTATGGAGTAGAATATCATACATATTACAAGTGCCTATGAAAAACCAAAGAATTTTTATTTTTATTTTTATTTAGAGACAGAGTCTCGCTCTGTTGCCCAAACTGGAGTGCAGTGGTGCAATCTCGACTCACTGCAACTTCCACCTCCCAGGTTCAAGCGATTCTCGTGTCTCAGCCTCTGGAATGCTGGGATTACAGGTGTGCGCGACCATGCCTGGCTAATTTTTGTATTTTTTGTAGAGATGGGGTTTCACCATGTTGTCCAGGCTGGTCTTGAACTCCTGGCCTCAAGTGATCTACCCGCCTTGGCCTCCCAAAGTGCTGGGATTTCAGGCGTGAACCACCACACCTGGCCTTAAGAATTTTATAATAATGTTTTCAGAGTTGCCACAGGCTAGGAATGTTTTTGTTAGAGGGACTTCAGTTAAAGAATGTGTGAATAAATAAAGCCATGATGCTTTTAGTCAGTTCAGCTGAAGTTTTTTCCTATCCATGGCACTACGAAAAGGGACTGCTGGATAAGTGAGAAAGTGTATCAGAGTAGTGAAGAATGTGAGCTCTCACACTGGATGGCCTGTGTTCAAATCCTGTTTCTAACACACACTATGTCATCCTGGGAAAATGATTTAAGCTTTCTAAAACTAAAGCATTGTCATTTATAAAAAAAGAGTAATAACAGTAAGTTTTCCTCAAAGGGTTGTTATACACCTTAAATTAGATAATACCCTTAAAAATCTTAAAACACAGCCTGCCCCACGGTGAGAGTTCAATCAATGTTCATTATTATTCTTCCTTAATACAGTTACTGAGTCTTTAGATATGTACTATCTGGGGAAATGGTACGTGTATATGTTTGTTAAATATGTATAAATTTGAAGCAGCCTTACTTTTTCCTGATTACAGAAGTATTTTAGCCCAGTCAACCTGAGACCACCAGGATCACTCTAGTCCAGCAAACTCAGGTCAGTTGACCCCCACGAAGAGCAAGAGACAGTGTAGTAGTGGAACCTGTGGGGCCTCTCCAAACGAGGGAAAACATAACATTACTATGGGATTCTAGGGAACAGTGGAGTGAAGGTGAAGTTTTAATGAAGCAGCATTTTGATAGGCTCAAGGCAGGGCTGTGTAAAGGGGTCAACGTTGGGGGGATCCAGGGTCTCACTTCCTGAAAGCTGCCAGACAGACATACTGAGTCCAGAAACCTCGTAACTGCAGCTCTGCTTCTGGGTCGTAAATCGAAGCTGCTTCTTTGTGTCAAGCTGACTTAGATCATCCAGGCAAAAGCAGAATCTGTCATGCTTACTGATACAATTCCAAACAGGAAGTGGCAGCTGAAGATTTTTGAAAACAAAGTTTCTCAGTGAATAGGAAAGCACAAAGAAGGGGATCATCACGACACTTTACTGCCATGGCAGGTACTTAGGGGAAATACTGTTTCCTGTTTACTTTGTAGGTGGCTTTAGCGTCTGTTATGCCAGTCTGATAAATGGCCGGGCAGATGTGACTTTCTCAGTCTGCACCAGTTTTTACTTTCTCTAAAGTAGCATATGTTCATTGAAGAAAATGAGAAAATATACAAAGCACAACATTCAAAGTTAACCACTATTAACATTTGAACTATCTTTAAAGCCTTTTTCTATGCAAACATAATTTTTTTGTTTTATAAAACTAGGTTTATGCTATACATATTGCCTTAGAGCCTTTTCATTAATTTATAATTAATGTTTTCCAGCACAATTAAATATTCTAATGCTACACCATGACCAATATATGGTATTCCATTGTATAGATACACCAAAAATCTTTTTAACCAAACCTTTTTTTGTTAGGCATTTTGGTTATTATCAGCTTTTCTCTATTTAAAAAAAAATTGCAGCCTGGCGTGGTAGCTCACATCTGTAATTCCAACACTTTGGGAGGCCAAGGTTGGTGGATAGTTTGAGGCCAGAAGTTTGAGACCCAGCCTGGGCAACATAATGACACCTCATCTCCACAGAAAATACAAAAATTATCCCGGCACAGTGGCCTCCCTCCCTTTCCCAGGATCCCATAGATAATAAACAACAGCCATATTTAAGACTAGCCTGGCCAATATGGTGAAATCCTGTCTCTACCAAAATACAAAAATTAGCCTGGCGTGGTGGGGCATGCCTGTAGTCCCAGCTACTCGGGAGGCTGAGGCAGAAGAATCATTTGAACCCGGGAGGTGGAGGTTGCAGTTAGCTGAGATTGCGCCACTGCATTCCAGCCTGGGTGACAGAGCGAGACTCTGTCTCCAAAAAAAAGACAGCCAGTGTATAACCTCTGTCATCTTTTTTCCTTGCCTTCATCCTGCTTGCTAGAATTAGGATATGATGGGTGAAATTCTAGAATCCACCCTGGACCATGAAAACTCTGGACAATACTCTCTGGATGGCAGGGCAGTGAGCTGGAAGGAGACTGGGTCCTTGAGAAGGATGGAGCCCCCATACCACAAGTCCTGGGCTGCCTGCTTTACTATTCAGCCTTAACAAAGAAGGAAATCCTGCCATTGGCAACAATGTGGGTGAACCTGGAGGACACTGTGCTAAATAAAATAAGCCAAATACTGCATCGTCTCACATACATGTAGAATCTGAAACAGTCCAGCTCCTAAAAGCAGACAGTAGAATGGTGGTTACCAGGGGCTGAAGGTGGCAGGGAGACTGGAAGATGCTGGTTAAAGGGTACAAAGGTGAGTAACTCCTGGAGAGCTAACACACAGCGTGGTGACTATAGTTGGTAATACCGTATGATATACTTGAAATCTGCTAAGAGTTGATCCTAGGTGTTCTCACCACACACACAAAAAGGTAACCATGTGAGGTAATTGATATGTTAATTAGCTTGATTGCGGTAACTACTCCACAATGTGTACATACATCAAATATCAGCCAGGCATGGTGGCTCACCCCTGTAATTCCAGCACTTTGGGAGGCTGAGGCAGGAGGGAGGATCCCTTGAGCCCAGAAGGTCAAGGCTGCAGTGAGCTGTGATTGCACCACTGCACTCCAGCCTGGGTAACAGAGCGAGAACCTGTCTCTAAATAAATAAATGATGCTGTACACCTTAAATATACAGAATTTTTATTGGTCACGTGCACCTCAATCAATCTGGGGAAAAAGCTGGTATACTTTGGATGCCATCATTATTTGGGAGGTTTTTGGTAACCTTCAGCTGAATTGGATCCTAAGTAATTTAAGTACCTCCAATCTATCCATGGGTTGAAGCCAGTGGCTCTCAACCAGGAGCAGCTTTTCCCCCTAAGATACTTGGCAATGTCTGGAAGCATTTTTGTTTGTCACAACTATAGGGGTACAGCAGAATACCGCTGGCATTCAGTGGGTAGGGGCAACACACTGCTAAAAATTCTACAATAAACAGAACAACCTCCCACAATAAAGAATTATCTAGCCCCAAATGTCAATTTTACCAAGATTGAGAAACCTTAGGTTAAAAATGTCTCTCAGGAAGGTCAGTGAGAAAACACCCTTTGTTCACTGCAATAAACGTGGTAAAAAAATGAGGTGTCCACTTCAGTCAATATTCTCCTCAACAGAGTTTCCATGAATCTCAAATAGTACAACCAGTTTTCAAATAATTAGAGTGCAATGAATTACACAACAGGATGTCTAGTCAAGACTTCAGATGGGAAGCAGGTGGAAGAATACTCCATTTACAAGAGAATCTCAATACTAGTTGCATGTTACAATCACCCGGAGACCTTTTAAAAAATCCTGATGCCCGGATTCCCCTCCAGACCAATTAGATAAAAATTCCTAGGGGTGAAGCCGAGGCACCTACTTGTGGAAGAGCAAACCATTTTCATTAGCACACAGTTTACAATGCATTGCAGGATTATACAATGCAGGCAGCACCGGATGCTTTCCTGGGCCACAAGCCACCCGCGCCTTTATAAGAGGTTCTGAAAGGACAGACCTTTAATTTCTACTGTAATGTTTGCTTTGACCCCACTTTATCTTCAAAACAAGGGAACACTCAGTCTTTTCTCTAGTATAATGGCAATTGTGAGTTTCACTAATGGATGCACCTTCATTCCGAGCTCTGGTTTGCCTTCCTTGACTGTGGCATCCCTCACCACCCCCACCAACTGTGGGAAACCTATCCAGCTGCCCTTTAATATCCTGAACCACGATGGCATTTACATTTTTGGCTCCTGTGCTGTTAGCAGAGTCAGTCACTGCTCCTACCAGAAAACAATGGAAAATTCAAAATATCACACAAGTATAACCACCACATCTTCACTTCAACACCCCGCATCCAGAAAAGAAGAAAAAGGAAAGCTACAAAAGCTAGTGGGACACACAACTTAAAAGCTGGTGGGACACACAACTTACTTTTTAAAAAGGTCTCCGTGGTTCTAACATACAGTCAAGGTTAAAACCACTAAGTTAGTATATTTGAAAGATGCATTTCTAGTTCTACTGTGAAAGCACTTCATGCTGATTCAGAAAATAACCAAACTATTCCAGGACTACAAATATCACCTTCAAGGTTTTTTTTGTGTTTGTTTTTAGTGCATTCTGCCCTAACAGAGTTGAAGGACTTTATTTCCTTTAGAAAATATGCATCTCTCAAATATGTAAAAAATAAAAGTGGATAGGTACATCAACTGCTTAGTCTAAATAAAACACATTACCTGCCTCAGGCAGC